TTCCTATTTTAGTACATTTTCCCAGTCTTTTCTGAATAATCTCCTGAAAGCATGGGAATCTCTTCTGCCATGACCCATGATTACTAGAAAGGGCAGTTACTGTTACATCGATCACATCAGTGCTCTGGGAGGTAAGCAAAATCCAGGGGAATGAGGAGGATGAATTGATTTTTGTTTTCTTGAAACAAATTGAAAAATGCAATGAGCCTGCAATTAATTGTTCTGTCTACTACGCAGATTGAACTTATTTAACTATTTAATTAAACAAGGAATTAACACTGTTAGCAAAACGTGGTCTGGGTCATGCCTTCCTCATTTTCTCTTCCCCTCCTCCATGCATCCACTTGAATTTTATGACACAGAGGCCTCTCTTTGTCACAGCTGCAAACAGTGGCAGCATTGAGTGATGTACTCATGTGGCCAAAAATAACCCAGCAAGTGTCCCCTCAGCCTGGGGGCATCCAGCAGCATGGCCTAGTGCTTGGCACGGCCCTGGAAACTCAACACCTTCCCAGATGGGAAATAAAAAACCAAGAGCCTTGTATATACATTTAAAGGGATGATGACTTCAGTTTCCTTCACATGTTTACTATTTTAAAAGAGGTTTTTATCGCTATATATTTTTTCAGGGTGCTATTTTCATTGTTCTTAGATTAATTCCACCAAGAGTCATTGTTCCCTGCCTTCAATTTCCCAATTTTACACAGAATCACGGAATGCTGGAATAGTTTGTGTTGGAAGGGACCTTAAATCCCATCCAGCGCCACCCTCTGTCATGGGCAGGGACACCTCCCACTGTCCCAGCCCCAAGCCTTGGACACTTCCAGGGCTGTGGGAACCACAACTTCTCTGCAAATTCCATCCCAGCCCTCCACTACCCTCACAAGTAATAATTGCATCCTAATATTTCATCTAAACTTCACCTTCTTCATTTTATGACATTTTCATATTGTGTTCCTTTATAATTTTCTGAAATCACATAAAATCTGACACAGAATTTATTTTACACATACTTTCAGGTCTTTCTTAGTAAATAGCAATTCTAGATATTCATGTAGCAATAAGAAGTCAGGCTCCTGAATGCTAGGTGCAGTAGGATGTCCAAATGCATGAATCTGGCTAAAGAAACCATTATTATTGTTCCTTTTTTTAGAAAAAAAAGGAAGGAAGAAATTAGCTATTTGCTTAGCTGGCACAACAAACGTGAAACAGAGCAGAGAACAAAATCTAGATCACTTAAGCTCCTTGTCAATCTTCTAATGAAGAACATATCCTTCATTTCTGTAAAATAAAATTACAGGATCTGTTTCTTTTTGATCCATGTTGTGATCTTTTCCACCAAACATTTCAAAACCTACCCCAGAAGTGGCTGCATTTCAGTGCTACATCAGGCAGATCCTACAATAGAAACAACCAAAATTTGTAAAGCAGAAAGGGCAGTTTCAGCTTAAAACTATGATAGAATCATTGGGTTTGCTGATTTTTAGGGAATAAAGCTTGTTTCCAAGACCAGTAAACTTTTTTTATCTTTCCATTCAACTCTGGAGTGATTTTTGACATGATGCAAGTGAAAAGACTCACCTGAATTTTTCTGTTGGTGTGGATCAGAACAAAATGGGGAGCAACAATATTTAACAGTGCACATCGCTGTACCCTCTTTAGGAGCCCTGGAAACATCAGAGACTGGGAAAACAAAGGTTTGATAGTTTATTACTGCTGTCAACAGAAGTCCTAGATGGATTGGAATGCTCCTCACAGAGCTCTCAGTCTGAGTTGTCTCGTGGCCAAAACCACTTTTCCAAATGCAGGGAGTAGCGCTGGATAAACATCCTCTAGGTTCATGCAGAGTTAGGGATGTCAGGTTGGGCCCTGTGGATGGTGCTTTCCAATGTCCTGTTTATTTGCTTCTCCAGCTTCCCCCTCAAGGGAATGTCCCACTGCAGTTCTGGAGGAATGTGGCAATGAATCCGCAATTTAACACATTTCAGATTTCACAGGGCTCTCCTGGTAAGACAACCACCCATCCCCAGGAAAGTAAAAGCAAGGTGCTCATTCCAGAGGAGCCCCATTTGATCTGGAGCAGTCTGCAGAAGCTATGAGGATGGCAAACATAAACCACCAGCCTGTGAGGGAAGGAGTGGGCAGGCTCTGGAAATGCTGGATGAAAGTGGTCCTACACCCAGGCTGTTTGCAACAGCTCTGCTGATGCTGGCACTGCACAGGGAAACCAGGAGGAGCAGCAGGCAGAGGAAGGATTTATTTCAGGCTGCTGCAAAATGAACACTGCAGCTTCTGCTTTCTTGTGGCAGAGCCAAAGTCCAGTTGTTTTCTCACTATTCCAAGAGAACAATAGAAATACAGTCCTTTAAGCAAACTATTTCCTCCTTATGCAATGTCCCAGCTGATGCAAGAAGAGGAGCTCTGAGCAAAATCATAGCCAAAAAAATGAGAAAGCAGGAAAATGAAAGCAGATATGTATGTGAATTAAGGGATGAAAGGTTCTTTTTGAGCAGGAGAGCAGAAGCAAGGTGTCAGGGCTATGGTCCCTCACTAGTGGCTGGTTCCTGTGGACAGAAGATTTTATGTGTACTTTAAACTGAAGTTATGGTTAATGTGTTCAAATAACCTGCTATGAAGAGGGGGTTAGATGTTTGACTTTCAAAATGACCTGATTTTTAGAGGGTCCAAGTAAACCAAAGTTTTGATTACAACTACTTTGTTGCTGAGGATCCCTGAAGAATCTGCCTGTTTCCATAGTGTTGAGTAAGAGCAAGCAGAGAGGATTTTGTAAGTTTTACATTTTATTTTTATGCTGGAAAGGGAAGTTTTCCAAGCTTTGAAATGTCCTCCTTTTTTTCTACAATGTAGAAAAACTAAGGCCTTTAAAAACCCTTTTGTTTTTACTTGGAAAAGTACAGAGAAAAGGATTCAGCTTTTGCTGATGATGACCAGCAACAAATTTAACTAGGGCACTGCTTTGCAGTGTGACAGACTAAGTTCAAGAACTTGGGCAGAATCAAGCAGAAGAACTTAAATTGACCCTCTTGTGTATGGGAAACCCTTGGTAGAAAAAACCAAAACACTGTACCTCCCCTTCTTATCTTAGACCATTTCATCGAGATCACAGCCTTTCTTTAAATCAAATTAGCTTTGTGTCCAGGTGTGGAGACCCTGAGAGGCATTCCCTGAGATAGGGAGACACAAGAAAAGCTGTCAGAGACTGTTGGTTCCTTCCCCTTGTTCCTATGTCCCTCACCTCAGATTAAGGTGTTTTCCCTCCCTACTCCCCTATTGGCCCTCATCTTTGGTCTGCCCCCATGTTCAGCCCCTGCCTCTCGAGACACAGAAACCTGGACTCCCCCCACGAGCCTTGCCTTGGGACCCTGAACATCTTACCACGTGGCTGAATTAAACATCTGTGGATACCAAGCAAGGGCCCTTTTTGCTTCCTTCCCCTGGACTTTCCTAGCAGCTATTTTGGCTGCAACATCCAGGTACGGTACAATATAACTGCTGCTGTCAGTGTGTTTGATTAAACTTATCACTGTGCTAACAATATTGACAAGAGCTGCTCAAACACACTCTGAGAAACCAAACAGTTTTGCTGAGCCCCAAATGTTCCATTTGAAGCACTGCAAGTTCTTAAACTTTCACATTTTGCCTGTAACTGATCCATTGTTCCTGCAGCCTTTCTTATATAACCACCAGGAACACAACTGATCAGCTTCTTGGTTTCCCAGAGTCCCTGCAGAGTCCAGGGAACTTCCAGATTCTGGGAAATACTCCTAGCTTTGTCCAGTTTTGGAAAGAAGAAGTTTCTCTCAAACCAGAAATATTTTTGCTTTTTGGGTAGAGGGTAATTTTCTGCCACTGAATATTTATGTGCATTCTCTTGTGGCTCAGATTTTTCTAGAGAACAGCTCTGTACTTTCAAAGAGCAGCTCTCATTTGCCACCCACTTTCTTATCGCTTCTTGCAACTGTGTTAAAATATGGAATGTGAAAACTGACTTATTCTAACCTTGTGGTTTCGTCCATCAGGGTTGTTCATCCTTGGATTCAGTGTCACCAAGAGGGTTCTACAAAAAGCAGAAATGAGCAGCTAAGGAAGCAGGAGGACTTGGCAAATCTGGTCCCAAAACACATATTCTTCAGAGACACACATTCTTCATATTTGGATTCTCTGCTGTCCAGAAGGATGCAAATTTTGATTAAGGTGTTTTCCACAGATAAATAATTTTAATACCACATTTCCAGTGTATATTCTCTGGAGTTTATCAGGCCAAAATTTACTGTGCAGGCAAAAATTCAATTGCATTTTCTTGAAGCTGTAAGCAGCTGAATATTCTTGGAACATCCATTACTACAAAACTTAATTGGAATTGATCATTGAGTCAAAAGTTCCTATGTGGAATAGAGAAATAGGAACTTATCTATAGAGACCATCTAAGCCTCATGAAAAGTTTACTTTTAATCCCAAAAAATAAAAGCAATGACACTTCAGAAATGTAGCTTTACCCAGTGGTCCAGCTCAAGGCTGGGAATAACACTTGGAACTCCATGAAAACTCTCATCTGCTGTTAAGCAAAGTGAAAGAAGTCAACCTGAATCACTTTTCAATAGTTAAACCTTGCACTAGGGGCTCAGATGAACTCCGGAAAGGACTGTCTCCAGGGTGCACGGACGCCCCTGCCAAGTGAAGTTCGTGGTCCGTCAAGCGCCGCCGGTGAATTCGCACACTTTCTGGTTGCTGCAGCTCCCGGCGGGCGGGAAAGCCAACCCTCTCCGTTCCAGACGTGAGAGGAGCTTTCCCCTGGATCGAGGACTACCTTCGAGATTTTCGTTTCCAGGAATCTTCGGTTTCGTGAGTATTCCAGTGGTCGGGACGGGCGCGACTGGGGTGCCCTGAAGCTGGGTGGGGGTGACTCCCGGGGATTAGGGGAGGCGTAGTGCGCTACATTCAAATGCCCTTTCGCGTCGGCGATTCTTGGGTGTTTTTCCTTTAGTTTTGGTTTTACCTCGGAGGTGGGTGGAAAAGAATCTAGCAAATAGTCTCAGTCTGAGTATTCTAGTGGCCGGGATGGACCCGACTAGGGTAGAATGGGGTAGAGCGAGACTGTCTGCTGGGGAGAAGGAAGTTTATAACCAAGTTGTGGATTCCTTGATGGGAGGAGGGTTTTGTTTATCTAAGGGAAAAGTTAAAAGATTTGTTAAATGGATTTTCTTTCATTTTCCAACTACTGCCTTTGATGAAGTAAAAACGCTAAGATTTTGGGATAAGATCGGAATGAAACTTGGAGAAGATGCAATGATAGATGGTGAATCAAAAAGTAATTTTTAATCAAATTTTAATTACTTTTTAATCAAAAAGTAATTTTTATCCTCTCTTTATAAAATTGAAAATTATCACATTAGTAATGGAAAACAAAGTGAAAGAAAATCCAAATAAATCTTCCCCAGTTCCTCTTGAAACCCCTGCTCCAGTTCCCCTTTTTCCTGACCCCCAGCCTCCTGAACCGAGTGAGCTGAGGGGAGCAAACCACCTGCAGCAAGTGCACAGCTGCCCCCACATTGTGGGTCTCCCTAGCTGCCCACATCTCCCCCGGTTCCCCTCTGGCTCTGGCAGGACTGATCACCCTGTCAGAGCTCCTTCCCTAGACCCTAATACATCACCCCTTTTACCTGTAGTAAAACCTGTAGATCGTCCCCCAGATTCCTCACCTCACCCAGAGTCTCAGAATGGAGAATGTCAAATAGCTTTGCCTTCATTTTGTGGTTCTTCCCCCCATAATCCCTTTCTCACCCGCTCCCTTCCCCCTTACCTCGAGTCACAAAATGTTGGACACCGCATGGCTTGGTCCCCATCTTGTGGTCCTCCTTCTACTTCCCATAATCGCTTTTTCCTTTGTTCCCTTCCCCTGTCTCAAAACCCACAGTTGTGCTCTGGCTTCTCCTCTTCCCATCCTCAAATTCCCCTAGCTTTACCCCGTGTATCTCCCTTCAATGAAGTGTTTCTAGATTTTGTAGGCAAAGTCAGAAAGGTAGTGAAAAAGAGAACTCCTAGATTAAAAGCCCAAGATGACATCATAATAAACATCGTAACTGAAGGTGCAAATGAAGACTGCAAGACTCAGCCTTCCTTCTTCACCACCACCATTGTTAGGCCTAAGTATAGAAGAATGTACCAGAAAAGCAAGACTTCCTCAAGCAGAAGCACTAAAGAAAGTCACCACAGCAGGAACAGAGCCTCCACTACCTTCCACATCAATGTAAGTGTCAAGACTATGTCCATGTTTTCACTGCAAGCAAAAAGGACATTTTGTAAGGGACTGTCCCTATCAAAGGAAGGCCCCCCTGGTTCCACCAAGAAGGGGAAAAGAAAAGGAACATAAAGAAAATGACCGACAAAATTAGCACATGAGCACAGTACTGCCCCATGTGAAGATATGAATAGGACAGAGCACAGAGAAGACAGTTACAAACCACACCAACGAAATACCACCCCGTCACTGCTGGAGGACCCAGCTGATGTAGCTGTAGCCTCCAACTGAAAGAAGAAAAAAGAATTCCTATATTTATTTTCTTTATTTTCTGGTGGAACTTATTGTTAAATTTCCTCATGTGTTTTCTTTCTTTCATATTCAAGGTGACGTCCGTAGCGGACAACATGTGGAAACAACTGAACATCTTTACAGAATAGAGTTTGTCCGGATGGATGTCATCTGTTATCAAAGACATTTGTTTAGTTGTGTTAATGCTGTGCCTAATTTCTGTTGTTATTAGCGTTTGTAGAAAACTGTTTGTTAAAAGTGTTGCCAACTCCAGCCGGGAACCCTCTCCCCCTCAGTGATGGTAGAAAGAATCCAAAGTTTAATTAGACACCATTGCCACTGCCATCATCCCCTCAACACTATAATAAAAATTAAACAAAAAAGGGGGAATTGGAGCAGTGGGGGTTTTGTGCTAGATTTGGAATTGTCCAGCCTGGAGAAGAGAAGCTTCAGGGTGATCTAATTGCACCTTCCAGTACCTGAAGGAGCCAACAGAAAAGATGGAGAGAGACTATTTACAAAGGCTTGGACTGACAGGAGAAGGGGGAATGGCTTCCCACTGCCAGAGGGAAGGGTTAGATGGGATACTGGGAAGAAACTCTTCCTTGTGCTGCGGTTTGTGCTGCGGGACCGAGATCGCCCCGCCCCGTCATCCGCCCGGCGCCGGCGCTGCTGCCGCCCGGGAAAGCCGCGCTGCCGGAGCCACGCGGCGCCACCGACAGCTCCATCCCCGCGCGGGAGAGAAATAAAAGCAGCTGGGAAAAGCAAGCACCGGGCCCTTCTTTATTTCCTTTGCCGCCGATCCTTTAGGCGTTGAACCCGCGTTCTGAGCCAGCCGAACCGCGACCCTGCCCGCCGGCGGCAGAGACAGGGCACGGCCGCTCCTGACGCGTGCCCCGATCGCCTCCCGGTACCGGGGCGCAGCGTCAACAAATAGCTGTGTCTTTCACTGGTGTCTTATAATTAGCTTCCTGTTTGCCAAGTTGAGAATGACATTGTCTGAAGCATGAGCACATAATTCAGTGATCAGAGTTCTGGTCTTGGACACCACACAGGAGTTACTTGGCCTTCTGCACGTACAGGCCCTTCCCTGAAGAAGAACTAGCACAGCGCAGTCAAAATGAAAAGAAAATGTCTGGGCTTGCTGGAACTTTTCTCCTGGTTTTACTTGTTTGACGGAACAAGGCTTGGATTTGGAAGGGGAAGGGGAGAAAGTAAAGTAGGGGAATATACAGAAAATATGTAAGAAGGAATGGAAAAGCATAGGAAGAACAGATCATGCAAACATTGAAAGATGCTTTTGGGCAGTCAGGTGGATACTGTGCTCTTGAGATGCCACCTGCAGAGCTGCTTCCAGCCCTGGGGTCCCAGCACAGGGAGGACATGATGGTGTAGGAGAGAGTCCAGAAGAGGCATGAGAATGATCAGAGGGCTGGAGCACTCTGCTGGGAGAAAAGGCTTGGAGATTTGGAATTGTCCAGCCTGGAGAAGAGAAGCTTCAGGGTGATCTAATTGCACCTTCCAGTACCTGAAGGAGCCAACAGAAAAGATGGAGAGAGACTATTTACAAAGGCTTGGACTGACAGGAGAAGGGGGAATGGCTTCCCACTGCCAGAGGGAAGGGTTAGATGGGATACTGGGAAGAAACTCTTCCTTGTGAAGGTGGCCAGGACACAGCAAAGGTTGCCCAGAGTAGCTGTGGCTGCTCCATCCCTGGAAGTGTCCAGTGCCATGTTGGATGGTGCTCGGAGCACCCTGCGATAGTGGAAGTTTTCCCTGCCCATAGCAGGGGGTGGCACAGGATGATCTTCAAAGTCCCTTCCAACCTAGACTATTCTATGAATCTGATTCTTAAAGATCAGCAATAAAAGAGAAAAGGGTTCTGCACATGTAAAACTTCATAGCTAAATTCAGGACATCATACCAGGCTCAGGACAAATGATGCACAAATCAAAACCAAGTTTCTTTAGGCTCTTGATGTTGTCTTTCAGATTTAGCCCAGTTAATAAAGCTTTTCAGGGCAAGGATGAAATGTGTTTTTAAATACCAGTAGTCACAAACAAGCACCAAGAAAGTTGTCTGAATTTCAGCAACAGTTTAGAAGTTTTGACAATTCAAAATGTTTGCAGTCAAGTGAAAAGCCAACAAGGTTTGGTAAGTAACAGACAACTCTTTAGTGAGTTTTCCTCCTCTAATTATGTGACGGAAGAAAATTGTCACTCAGTTCAAGAGATTTTTCCATCACTCCTCTGGACTAGCACAAGCTGTGTGTGCTCAGTAGCTCTGAAATTGTGTCTGTAAGCACTGAGAGAGAAACAAAAGTGAGGAACCTGAGGTATGGATACTTTCAAGGAGTCTGGACTTCAGCCTTTTCATGCTACTATTAGCACAATCTGTCACTGCAGTTCTCCCTAATTAAAGCAGGATGACATGCCTGTAAGTCTGATTCATCACTTACACTATCATTTACCTCAATTGAGAGAATCTGCACTAAAAAAAAATGAGAATCTCTGCCCTGACTCCCTGCAGGGCTGTCACACCTCTAGGCTCTGTGCTCCTGCAGGATTCCCAGCACCATCCTCTGCTGGTTCCAGGACCCTTCCCATCAGACATGGCTGAACTCTTTGCCAGGCAGCTGCCTCTGGGGTGTGGGGCCCCAGGGCACAGGGCACTGCCACACCACTTAACAGCCAGAGCTGAGGTTTTTAAAGAGGATCACACACAGACCCTCCTTGAAAGGCACTTTCCTCAGTGGGGTCCCCCCCTAACACACCCTCACTCACAGGCATGCAAGGTGAAACATGTAAGAAATGTGATTACACTAGGCCCGGAGGATGAGAGAGAAAATCACACCAGACAATAGGAGTTTACATTTCCTTCTGTCCCCAGTGAAGCATCTACTTTGCACCAGAACAAGTGAGAGAAACACAGCCCCGTGTGTGCTCTGGTGACTCCAGCCCCAAAGGTCCCTGGTCCTCAGAGCAGACAGGGTAAGGAGTTACCCTCAGAACAGAAGATGAGTTGATTTCAAGCCTGAGTGCCATGAGCTGTTTGCACACACATTATGAATGTTTATGAAAGTGAAAGGCTGCTCCTCTGAGCTAGTTAAGGGCTATCATCCCCAGTTTATTTCCAATTAAAAATCCAGGGACAGAATGCATTTGCTGAAGATCTCCAAGGGAACCAACAACACAGCAAGGATTAGAACTAAGGATTTCCTGTCCTATCTACAAACCACACCTCTCTCCTGTTTACAATGTGAACTTATTCCCAAGCAGAAAAGCCATGTGAATGGAACAATTAATTCTGCTATTTTGGCCTCCCTTCCTTCCCTTCTCAGTTCATTCCTGGCATTACCTTCAGGTCCTTGCAAACCTGGTACCAGAACTGTGGGACAAAGCAAAGCAAGAAAAGAACATTTCAGAACAAATGTTTCAGCTGCAAATACTTGAATTTTGATTTATATAATTGTTTGCTTAAATAAGTTTGAAACACTTTAGAAATACCCTCAAAATATGGTGCTTTTGTTAATGAAAAATGAAACCAAAAGGTAAATGAACTCCTAAACCAAGGAGTAAGTTAATGAATGACTAATCATGGTAGTTACCTGCACATGTCATTTTTTGTACACATGACCTGAGCAACACTAGTGTGACAGTGTTACTAGTCAGAGTAAGTTACTATCAACAGAGTTTTAAAGAGATAGTACCTTTGCTTTCCTTTTTTTTTTCTTTTTTTTTTTTTTTTTTTTTTTTTTTTTAAAGTCACATTTGCACATTTCCTGGAATCAAGAGCTAAAAGCCCTGGGAAAAATATAATCTGAAAATTTCTCATGCCTTTCTGTGATTCCAGGGCTTAGGACATCAGTGTGTTCACACCCTTCAAATACCATGGGAATCTGGTAACACCAAGCTGATTGAAATTGTCTATAGCCTGGGATCAAGAGCGATAACACCTCAGCTCAAAGCCTAAGGTGACATTTTAGTCCAAATTATATATTTAATCATCATTCTCCACAATCCATGGTTTTTAAGGAGCATTTCTTTTGGCAAAGTGGGATCTTTGATGTGATAAGTTCATACTCCCTGCTAGTACCACTCAGACCTACCAATTAACTTCTTACTGCAAAATGCTACTAAAATTACAGGCTTCTTCAAAGTGCAAAAATATTCCAAGGAACTAATCCTGCTCCTTTTAGATCAGTTGTCTTTTTAGGTGTATTTAGGTTTTAGTAACAACAGCTTCAGTGATACATACAAGATAACTACAGGGCCTGAGCTAAGACTTGTAGTTACATCACCCTTTTGAAATACACCTGCACAGGTGTAATTTTTTGAGCTTCTACTGAAGGATAATAGCTTGTTAACTCAATTACTGTGTAAAAGCACTTTGTCTTGGTAAGAATCTAAAATAGAAGACGTTAAAGCTCACTGTTAAAGATAACAGGGAAATCCTATGGACGGCAGTGTTTTTAACATGCTTGCTTTTCAGCTTCCTTCTTTTGTTAAACAAAAATGTTTCATAAAAGTCTCTGAGGTTTTTCTTTCACTTATTTAGATCACCTAGGCAGCTTTATTAGTAAGGCAAAATTAATACTTCTTTTCCCTCAATAACCCTGCAATCCTTCACCCAAAAGAAGAAACATTTCTGTGTATAGGCCATGAGAATTTGAAGGCTTAAAAAGCAAAAATAACCCAACACTAAATGAAAACTCCTCAAGGCTTTTGGAGTTGTTTATGCTAGCTCCTCCCCTTCCTGGAAAGCACCTCCTAAAGGTGGTGGGGATGACAGAGGCACCTCTCAGAGTTACCTGTGCTCCTGAGCAATGCACCATGCTATCTGACTGGGCTGTGCATCAAGGGGTGGGGTTCCCCCCTAAGGTAACTTTTTCTTCTCATTGTTTTATTTGTGTTATGTTCCTTCCATTGATCTAAATGTACTTAAAGAGTTGAGAAATATTAATTATCCCCTTTCTAAAGACTGAATAGGAGGAGAATTTAATAGCTTTAAAAGCATTCTCTGAGCATGGATTTATTGGTTTTGGTGTAACTTGATTTTGTCACTGGTACAAAGAACCTGTGTTCTTAACTGCAGAACCTCTTTCTCTGTTGGGTGGTGAAATTGGGGCTGGAAAGGACTAAAGCAGCATCCCTTACCCTTAGGCAGGGAGAAGCTCTACTTAGCTGGTTCCCAGGAAGGGAATCTGCTCTTAAGAGTGCCTTGTAGTGGATGTGCTGTAAGTATTTTCAGGCAATGTAGTTCAGTATTTAATCATTTTTTTTAGAATAAAACCACTTTGTGAGGGCCTTGTGTTGTCTTCATGGTGTGTCATTTGGGATGACTGTTCTCATTTTGTTTCATTGATGTTGTTGTTTTCCTAGTGCTTTAGCTTTCAGAGTTCCAAT